GTTTATCTCAATATCAGTGTACTAAGCCCTGGAATGTTATAGAGGATACTACAGTATATAAGCCAGCCTGTCTTCAAGGTGGTTCTCTTATAACTTAGGAAGCCTTCCCGAGAAGGTAGTATTAGACTGTTACATGGAGAAAGACGGGTAATAAAATCAGGAGATTAAAGGGTATCCTGTTACCACTTTTCTGTCTTCCAGATCTTAGACAAACTTTTGGACCGAGAAAGCCAGACGCATAAACCACAGACACTGAGTTCATTCTACTCATCTAGTCGCCCAGCCACAGCCAGCCAGAGGTCTCCTTCAAAACATGGGGGTCCGTCTGCCCCAGGGGCTCTGCATCCACTGACCTCAGGCTCTGCAGGGCCTGCTCAGCCAGGGAATGTGGCAGTGGCTGGGCCAGGTCCCACTGAGGGCTTCACGGAGAAGAATGTGCCTGGTGAGGTGGGGGCATGGGGCAAGGGGATGGATGGTATGGAGCTGTGTTTGGGTCTCCTTGTATGGGCTCATTCCAACATCCTATTTTCCTCACCCAGAGACTTCCCCACATTCTCCCTGTGAGGGTCTGCCATCTGAGGCAGCCTTGACCCCAAGACCAGAAGGGAAGGTCCCTAGCCGCTTGGCACTTGGAAGTCGTGGAGGCTACAATGGACGGGGCTGGGGCTCCCCAGGACGGCCAAAGAAAAAGCACACAGGTTCGACAGTGGTGGGTTGACATGGAGGGAAGGATATTCCTGAATGTTGAAATCTGACTTCTGGAACTTCTGAGGTTGACTTGTCTTGGGGGGTGGGGTGTTAGGCATGGCCAGCATTGACAGCAGTGCCCCTGAAACAACATCGGATAGCTCCCCCACCTTAAGCCGGAGGCCCCTTCGAGGAGGCTGGGCCCCTACCTCGTGGGGTCGAGGACAAGACAGTGACAGCATCAGCAGCTCTTCCTCGGATTCCCTGGGCTCCTCGTCCTCTAGTGGAAGTCGCCGGGCCAGCGCCAGTGGAGGGGCCCGGGCAAAGACAGTCGAAGTTGGCAGGTCAGTGAACTAACCATCTCTGATCTGACGCACCTTCAGCCACATCTTAGTGTAATCCATTTGTAATTCCTCCAACATGCTCTCTTACTCTGGTCTTTCCCAGTGTAACTGGACACCCATTTCAGAGAGACCCCAACCCCATTGCCCCTTCAGGTACAAGGGCCGCCGTCCTGAGAGTCATGCTCCCCATGTACCCAATCAACCGTCAGAGGCAGCTGCACACTTCTACTTTGAGCTGGCGAAGACGGTGTTGGTCAAGGCAGGGGGCAACAGCAGCACTTCCATTTTCACACATCCATCTTCCTCAGGGGGCCACCAGGGTCCTCATCGCAACCTGCACCTTTGCGCCTTCGAGATTGGGCTTTATGCTCTTGGCCTGCACAACTTTGTTTCTCCCAACTGGCTCTCACGTACTTATTCTTCCCATGTTTCCTGGATTACAGGTAAATCCACTGTCTTGATTTGGGTCCTGGAGGGAGACTAAATTGAAGAGCTGTGGGTGGGTGGGGGAACTCTTGCTCCTTGTGGAGTTACTGATCTGATAAGAGAGATACCATTCCTACTTTGTAACTTTACCCATGCTAACCTCACTCTGCTTTTCTTTTTGCAAAGGCCAGGCAATGGAGATTGGCAGTGCAGCCCTGACCATCCTGGTAGAATGCTGGGATGGACACCTGACGCCCCCTGAAGTCGCATCCCTGGCTGACAGGGCATCAAGGGCACGAGACTCCAATATGGTGAGGGCAGCAGCGGAGCTAGCCCTAAGCTGCCTGCCTCATGCCCATGCATTGAACCCCAATGAGATCCAACGGGCCCTGGTACAGTGCAAGGAACAGGTATTTCTCTAGGCAATCTTTGGTGCAATTGGGAAGAGTGGGCAGAGGGAAAGCTGGGCCCCAGATCTGGATTCCCGCACTCAGGGAGATCACAAGCTATCCAGTTTGTCCTCATCTGGTGATACTTGACTTCTTACTTGCTTTACCTTTTAGCTCTGGGGTTATTTATTTTTGTTTTATATATAAGGAAATGGAATTTAGGAACCAAATTTAGGTTTAGAGATCTATAGTTTAGGGACCAAGATGATCACCAGCATGGAATACTGAGGGAAGGCATCCAGGACAACAGACTTGGATGGGAGGGGATGGCTAAATTAGTATGGAAATTAGGACTGTGACCCACTTGATTTCTACTGGTCAATAAGTTCAGTGCCTGTATGAAAGTATACACAGTGCCAAAATTGACTCTGAGCATTGGCCTTGACCTCTGGTGCCTCCCTGGGGACAAGCCAACACTTGAGGGAGTTAGAATGTCATCTGAAATCATTCCTGAGTTAAGTATTCCTCTCTCTTCACTCTTTGTGCTCCTCCTTTCCAGGATAATCTGATGTTGGAGAAGGCCTGCATGGCAGTGGAAGAGGCGGCTAAGGGTGGGGGCGTGTACCCTGAAGTGTTGTTTGAGGTTGCTCACCAGTGGTTCTGGCTATATGAGCAAACAGCAGGTGGCTCATCCACAGCCCGTGAAGGGGCTACAAGCTGTAGTGCCAGTGGGATCCGGGCAGCTGGGGAGGCTGGGCGGGGGCTGCCTGAGGGCAGGGGGGCCCCAGGGACTGAGCCTGTTACAGTGGCAGCAGCAGCAGTGACAGCAGCAGCCACAGTGGTGCCAGTCATCTCAGTAGGGTCTAGTTTATATCCAGGTCCAGGACTGGGGCATGGTCATTCCCCTGGCCTGCACCCCTATACTGCTCTACAGCCCCACCTGCCCTGCAGCCCTCAATACCTCACCCACCCAGCTCACCCTACCCACCCCATGCCTCATATGCCCCGGCCTGCCGTCTTCCCTGTGCCCAGCTCTGCATATCCACAGGTGAGACCAGTGTTCTGCTGGGTGGGTTGGGCTTGTGGGAGAACATTGGGCCTTCATGGGGTCAGGGGGTTGGGATGGGGTACTTTGGGAAAGTAGAGCTGTCCAACAGGTGGGGGGGCCCAGCCTAAATAAGAAATGTAGAAACCCAGGTGGCAAGAAGAGAGCTATATCCTAATATAACTTGGTATCTTCCTTCTTATCCTTTAGGGTGTGCATCCTGCATTCCTGGGGGCTCAGTACCCTTACTCAGTGACTCCCCCCTCACTTGCTGCCACTGCTGTGTCTTTCCCTGTCCCTTCCATGGCACCCATCACAGTACATCCCTACCACACAGAGCCAGGGCTTCCACTGCCCACCAGTGTGGCCTGTGAGTTGTGGGGACAGGGAACAGGTGAATGGAGGGGAGGTATGCTGGGTAGGGGAGGTGTGGAGGGAATCCTCTGTTCCTCTGTGGACTCTGTTTCTCATGCAGTGTTTATCCTACCTTCAGTGAGCAGTGTCCATCCAGCACCCACGTTTCCAGCCATCCAGGGTACCTCACTGCCTGCCCTGACCACACAGCCTAGCCCTCTGGTGAGCGGGGGTTTTCCACCACCCGAGGAGGAGACACACAGTCAGCCTGTCAACCCACACAGCCTACACCATCTGCATGCTGCCTACCGTGTTGGTGAGAGGTCCTCTTCTGTGCCCCCACCTAAAACTGCCAGAGGCTCTTGAGTGACACTCCTCTCCTATAGCTCTTGATTTGTTCGCTGTGGGGTCAGGTACCAGGTTGGGGTAGAGGGTGAAGAGGCTGCACTCCCATTACCTTCTTACCAACCCCTTTATCCCAGGAATGCTGGCGCTGGAGATGCTGGGTCGCCGGGCACACAACGATCACCCCAACAACTTCTCCCGCTCCCCCCCCTACACTGATGATGTCAAATGGTTGCTGGGGCTGGCAACAAAGCTGGGTAACACCTCCCCTCCCCAGGACCATTGCCCACCCCTTCCTGCTTCCCCCACCTTCCTATCCCAGACCTCCTTCCTAGCTCTTGCTCAGAGTTGAGGCCTTGGTCGGGTATGTGTGCGTGCGCGTTGGGGGCGGGGAGTTACCTCAGCTCCTGGGGTGGAGGGAGGCTCTCTGCCAGGCCAGAGCTGAGAGATAAAAGTTGGGTCCCTAGGGCAGAGGTGGCCACCCCCGTCTCATGCCCCTCCCCTGCCCCCCAGGAGTGAACTACGTGCACCAGTTCTGTGTGGGGGCAGCCAAGGGGGTGCTGAGCCCGTTTGTGCTGCAGGAGATCGTCATGGAGACGCTGCAGCGGCTGAGCCCCGCTCATGCCCACAACCACCTGCGTGCCCCGGCCTTCCACCAACTGGTGCAGCGCTGCCAGCAGGCGTACATGCAGGTGAGCACCCCAGATGTGGGGAGCACCTCCTGGACAGGCATGGAGCAGATCAGCATGCAAGTGAGGCTCCCTAGTTCAGTGCCTAGTGGCTCATGCTCTGCACACCTCCTCCAGTATATCCACCACCGCTTGATTCACCTGACCCCTGCCGACTACGACGACTTTGTGAATGCGATCCGCAGTGCCCGCAGCGCCTTCTGCCTGACGCCCATGGGCATGATGCAGTTCAACGACATCCTTCAGAACCTCAAGCGCAGCAAACAGACCAAGGAGCTGTGGCAGCAGGTCTCACTCGAGATGACCACCTTTTCCCCCTGAGTGTGGCCCCCCTAGGGTCCTATACTGGGACACAGGCCTGTGGTTATGGGGGTCCCTCACACAGGGGGAATGAATCTTGGCTGGACAGATCATCCCCACTCAATTCCCTGGTAGCTCAGACTGGCAGCTGCTCTTGGGCTGTAACTTGGGGCCAAGATGTCTCAGACCCTAGAAGCCTAGGGTTGGGGGAGACAGCCCTGTCTGGGAGGGGGCATTGGGTGGCCTCTGGTATTTATTTGGCATTTATAAATATATAAACTCCTTTTTTACTCTAGTCTGCCTGGGCCTTTCCCTTCTTTCCCTCCACGTGTAGATGAATCTCTAACTGGGTGATGGTGGCAGGGAAGTCTGATACTTGTTTTGTTTTCAGCTCCTCCTACTCCAGTGAGGCAGACAAACAGAAAAATAAGGATGTTTATTAAGGACATTTCTAGCCCACAGCTAGGGCTCATACTCAGCTCGATGAGCCACTGTCCGACCTCATCCCCATTCAATGTGAATGACATTAGGGAGGCCGGGCCACAGGTAGATCCCATTGATTCCACAGCAAGGGGTCCCTCCCGGAGCCAGGTAGAGATAGACACAATGCTGGGGATGAAGAGGGAGATCAATGGATTAATACAATCCTCTATATCCTGCCTGGACACTCACTTTTCAAGATCATGGGTCAAAGGTGCCTAGTACCATGATGTGGGATATCAAGGGAAGTCCCTTTATGAGACCCCAGAGCTATGGGAAAGGGATGCCCTTCCCTTCTCAGCCATCCCAGGCCTTCGGGTCACTGAGGTAGAAGGGGAAGGGGCCAGGCCACTAATCCCCCTTGTGGGCCCTGCTTTGAGCTTGCCCCTTATAGAAGCAGGGGGCTTTTGCTGGTGCAGGAGACTGGGACATCAGCCCAGACTGGAATGCTGTAGTTCTTCCCGAAGCCATGAGGGCACTGGCTGTCCAAGCCGACTCAGCAGCTTTGACAGTTCCAAATTGTGGTTCCGGAAAAATTCCGTAAGGAAAAGGCGGGACTGATAGGAGAAAAATAAAGGCAGAAATGGTAAGGAATGGGATACAGAATCAGACCATATCAGTGAATATCCTGCCCCAGATTTTACTTACTTCAGTGTCCATATCTGGGTACCTTCGGCCTTTGCTTTTGCCTAGACAGCGAGTCTTGCCACCTTCAAGTCCCTGGCACCAGAAACCCTTATCTTCATCAAATCTGCTCAACAGGAAGAGGCCATAAGGTAGAATACAGATAAGAAATCCAAGTCCCATAAATGTCCACCACCTCTCCCAACACATAGGGACATGTCTCTTCTTGCAAGACAGGGTAAATTCATGTCTCTTACAAATCGCCTTGGTCAACCTATGATCCCATTTTCCCTGAGTTCTCTAACCCCTCGATTAAGCTCTCCCACCTGAGGGTCCGTGTGTAGTTCAGAAAGGGTGTGATGCCCAGGAACTTCTGGATGCTTTCCATTGAGACAACTGGGTTTGTACGTAGCTCTTGCCCATCCACAATCAGCAACTAAAGGGACAGGGATGTGGTCCCCTTTGTATCCCTTAAAAGCCTCTGGGCTGAAAGGAAGAGGAAGGGGGTGGGGTCCCAAATGTGGGCTACTGGGGATGTACCTGTCCAGAGGGGTAGTAAGTCAGCCAGCGTTGCAAGTGTGTGGAATAGTAGCCTGGTACAAGACAGCGATTCTGTAGAGAACGAAGTGCCAGAGGGGCCTGGGAAGAGGCTGAAACCACCTGGTAGAAAGTATAATTCAGAGCAACTGGGTCTCCATGAGCTCGCTGATGCTGAAAGACCAAGAGAAAGGGAATGGACTGGTTACCTAAAGTAATTATTCTGCCTTTACCCTTGGTATGACGTAAGCACCCCTCCCTAAAGACTAGTTCAGTTTTTCTATTACCATTCCTTTCTCTAGCAGTCACTACCTTAAGCACTAATATGAAGCCCTAGCTTCGGGCTCACCTGGTACCAGGAGTATGCTCTATCAACAGGGTTGGTGAGCACAGTGATGATCTTGGCTCGTGGAAGGAGAGCAGCCCCCCGCCGTGGTACAACCTCTGAGTCGAAGTAGGTGGCACTTTTTTCAAATAGGAAGTCAGTGCTGGCATTGGAAGGGACAGGGAAGAAATCCATGTACCTAGGAAGTAGCACAGGGTTAAGGCAGATAATTTACAGTATATCTGTGCTGGTGAAAACTGGTATTTTGGGGGAAGGGAATGTTCCTCTGAGAATCACTCCAAGGGTCCCCATCTCACCAGTCAATACCCTTGTGGTAATTAGGGCCGCTGAAGAACTGAATCTCCTCAAACGTGGTGGGGCTAGGGAAGCTGCTAGTTACAGCTGGGTGCAGGCTGAGGAAGAAGTGAACTGCTGTGGTTCCTAAATGGGACAGAAAAGTTCAGACTACTGTGAGAGAAGTCAGCTTAACAACGTGAATATGAAGGAGAGAAAATAATCATTCTTGATATTAAAATCCCCTTTAGCTAACTATAGCAAGACAGGAAAGTCTGAGAGGCCCAGGGGAGGGTTAAAATAGCAGTTTTCAGACTTGACTTTGCATCATAATCACTTGTGGATCTTTAAAAAACAGATAGTATAAAAAAATACATGTGTATCAACTGATTCTAATGAAGGCTAGGAATCAGTGCCTGAAGACTGGATTAATGAGAAGTGGCTATGAGAAAAGAGTTTGTTAGTCAAAGAAAAAGAGAATTTAGCTAAGGATGATTCACCTGTCTTCTGGGGTCCCACAATGAGGAACTTGGGGAGACGATCACAGGTTTTCTCTTTCGACCAGATATCTTTGTGCCTCTTGTCATCACAGGGATTCTGAAGGTGAGGCCAAGAATTAGATAAGGCCTCATTTTTCCTTTAACCTCCTACCCCTATCATATTTCTGGTCAGCCTGAGTTCCACCCATACCTGCCAGAGGGGGCTTTGCTCTTGAGGGAAGAGTTCAAAGTACTTTTGTGCAAGAGGAACAGGAGGAAGTGTCTGCAGGCGCAGTCTTGTCCAGCACTGGAGGAAGCGCACCAGGCTCTCAAAGGTGTACAGACCCAGTCGATCATTTCCATAATTGGACAGATGAGTCATAAAGATGCTGATCTAAAAGGGGGTGTCTGAATGTTAGATTTAGACTGCCTCTCCCACCCCAGAATCAGGCTTGGTGAGCAAAAGTCCCAGCATGCAAATACTTTGGATGTCCAGTTTTCTAGCACTTCTTACTCAGCACCATACCGGATTAAGCAGCACTGTCAGAAAAAGCTCTCCACCTCGAATGCTCCGGTCTAGTTCATGTGAACCTCCGGGGTACTCATTATAGAAGATTGTGTGAGTGAAGAGGCCACATGTCTGCCGTGGCAGCACCTGGAGGGAAGAGACAAGGACTGATGAACTTGAAAAGAAGAATGAGAAACAGATGGACAAAAAGTCCTGAAGCATAGGATTCCCAGGGCTCATAGAGGAATCAGTCTGACATTATAATAAAAAAGTTCCTGCTATGTACATTATCATTTTTTTACCCCTCAACAGACGACATGGATAAACTTGGACTGGCAGTTGACAGGACAGAGGTCAGTGCAGTTTGGAGGTTTTTTTCTTTTTTTGTGTGTGTAGAGGAACTGGGGTATAGGCCAGAGGCGCAGGGGGTGGGAGGATTTACCAGAGACAGGGTTGGGAGCATAACAGTGGATTTACTGGAATACACTAAGGGGAGCTGTGGGTGAGACAGGAGAGGTCTGCTGTGCCATATGTGGTTTAACCCCATCACAGGATCGAACTCAGGCCATAGCAGTGATAATGCTAAGAGATAATCCCTAGGCCACCAGGGAGACCCTGGAGGATTTCTTAATGTGGGAGTTTGAGTCAAAAGTATACTAGAGGACCCTCACCATAATGCCATTGTGAATGAAGCCACGGCGGTAGCGGGCAGGGCGGAGATGGGGATATTCCTCAGTGCTTGTCACCTGGATGCCCCACACAGATTTCCAGGCCTCATAGAGTTGCGTGTGGATGGGGTATACACCTGAGTGGTGGGGGGCCACAGCATACCCCAGATCTGTGGGAATCCCATGTTCCTGGGAATGTACAGACTCTCATCAGGACCTAGTGAGGTTTGGGGAGTAAAGATAGGGGGAGAGGGCGGAATACATCCATAGAAAAAGTGGTAGGGTAGGGAAAGAGGTACCTCATTAGGGGAAGGTTGAAAAGCATTATATCTGGGAAAAATACGAGGAAGACATCCAAGGGTCTCACCAGAGCAAACTGTTTGTTGAGCCTCATCTGGTCAGCTAGCACGGAGCGATTGTGGAACAGGTGTGGCTGCATGTGGCTCCACATGTGGGGGAACCACCAGAACTCTTTGCGGTGCTTCAGCAGCATGTCGTCCCCTGCATCCTCCTCCTCTGTCCCTATGACCACACACTGACCACTGACCACAGCCAGTCAGCCTCTGTGCCCTTTGTTCCATAACAACACTGACCATCTTCCATCCTTGGGACAGTGCTGACCTCTACCCACTTAATAATGTCTTATTTGTCCCATTGCTAACTTGCCCTCCAGCCAGCCCCCTGCTAACCTAAATTCATATCCACTGTTATCTCCTCACAGCAGTCTGATCACAAAACTTGCCCCTTTTTACCAATTTGTCTGCCAAGGAAGATGGACAGTAAAGGATGGATTAAACTAAGATTGATATGCCGAAGGAATAAGGGAATAAGCTCACCAGTATGATAGAACTTGCCCGAGAAGCCCAAGTTGAAGGTGAAGTTGGGTATTAAGGTCCTGAGTTTGTTCTGGGTGGTCAACAGAGCCTGGGGAGATTAGCAGGGACAAGAAATCAGAAGAAAGCAGACTAAGGAGGAGGAAAATGAGCAGAGCTCATCCTGCCTGGAAAGGGCAGGGAATATACCTATGACAAGCCAAAGATCAAAAAAAGGTGTATGATATAGGTCAGAGCTTGAAACAGCTTCTAAAGAAATAAATTTGAGTCAGAAAAAAGACTGACCTCAACATCAGCCACCTTCATGCGGGTACCTTCCTTGCCCACAAAGATGTCATCGATGTCTACCAAGATGTAGCGATCAAGGTCCAGGCAGAGGCGCTTACCCGTGAGGTATGCAACAGCATCAACAAAAACAAGCTTGTGGAGCCAGAAGGAAAGGCCATGGCCAAAGATCACCCTCTGGATGCCATCATGGAGCCCCAGATCCTGTACCACAGTGGGAAGCCGGGCCCGGCGAGTCACAGGTCCTGGCACAGGAGGTTCAGCTGGCCGAAGGCTGGCAAGAAGCACTGGTTCATAGGTGCTATGATTGGACTGGAAGATGGTCCAGTCATCACCAGGCAATGGCCCAGGCTCCATGCGGCTGGGGCGTGTGAGATGCAGTAGAGGGGCAGAAGGATTCACTTGGTAATCCCGGAGCCCCAAGTTTGAGTGTAGATAAAGGGGAAAGCCTTTGAGCTGGGCACTTAGCAGACTATGCTCATGAGCTCGGAAAAAGCCAATGATGCCCACACCATATTCCACACAGTACCGGTCTAGTAGTTCCCGACTCCCGGGATCCAGGTTGACATACTTGAGCAGGTTCTCATAAATGACCAAGACATAGCGGCCATGGGTATGATCAGTCAATGTGGGCATGTCCCCTCGGCCAGGTGCCAGTTCAGTGCTATAACGAAAACGACTAGACTCCAAGATAGCCACAATTTCCTGCCCCAGCTGTGAATATGCACTCTCCACGAACACAAGGACCACGGGTTCAGTTCGAGCTGTCTCTGGAGGCCTGGGGGGCCGGGGCTGGATTGGAGACCGTGCAGGGCCAGGGCCAGGGCCAGAGCCAGTTGCCCCACCACTGCTGCAGTCTCCCATGGGCAGGGGCAAGGGTTCCTTGGCCTTAGGGCTGGTAGATACATAGTAAGCCAGGAAGCCCATGGAGATCAGACTGAAAGCAATCAGCAGCAGGATGAGGCGGTGCAGTTCCAGCTGCCGAGCTGGGCGTACCACCTTCCACAGCTTGAGCATGGCGGGGCAGGGGACGTAGGAATGGGGAACACCTCAGGGGATGGGAGGCAGTTCTACAGGCTAGTAGTCTTTGGGGAGGTGGAATGATAGGAAAATAGGAGAAAGGGATGCCCTCAGGGTCAGTTCCCTGAAGAGGTGGAAACAAATCCCTTAGTATAGGGTAGGGGAGGTAAAGGGGAGAAAAGGGGGCAACTGGACAGAGTCCATTGGTATCAGGTCACCATGGCCTCTGGCCCATGGCTTCAGGATGCAAATCTAACCAGGTTCTATCCTTGGTCCTGGCTGAGCGCCTCACATCAAAGGTCTGTAAAGTTCATAATCTCTGCCCCCACTATCTGTAAAACAGAATTCAATGGATTACTTTTCCTCCTTGAAACTGCATCATTAATCCATTCCCCCCTTCACCCCACCTCTCTTACCTCCTGCTCACAGGATGATCTGTTCTCCAAAATAAAGGTCCTGTAGAAGAACAGCACAAATCTGAGTTTTATACCTAAGTTTCAGTTTGTTCCTTTTCTTTAAAATACTGTCTGAGTTCTTCTCTCTGACCTAAGTTCAGATTTGGAGCCATAAACTCAAGAATTAAAAGGAACAGATCTTTGAAGAAGTCAAAAAGCCAAGTACTGAAAAGTAAACCTTGGAAAGGAGCTCCCAGCCTGACTGAGCAGTTGGTCAGTCAGCAGCTCTGGTCTTCCTGTGAGAAAGAGATAGAAAGTCTTCTATGTTCTAACGAAATATCAGATAAGAGAAAACTCATGAGTCTCTTAATCTTCTCATCAATCAAACCCAACATCACAGGCTAACAGTACTAATAGACACTTGCAGTCAGGTGGACACTGGCTGGGGAATTCAAAAGGAAGGAGAATTGGTGCTAGTCAATTACTCGGTTAGCTTCCAGTTCCAGAACTTGGGGATTCTTTTTTCCCAATATTTGTGAAATTTTTTACATCTCTTTCACCTCACCAGTGTCAGTGTCAGAAGAGGTGATAAAAATGTAGGCCAGGCAGAAAGAAAAAGAAAAATATCAGATAGTTTCACTCATAGCAGGAGCATAAAGGACCAGGGGGAGAAAACATAATAATGAACAACTGTATACGAGAGGCGTTTTATGGGGGTGGAGTGGGAAATGGGATAAAAATGGGAGTGGGGGAAGTACACTGGTAATGACACATGGGTGAATTGGTGATGGGAAGTCCATGAGGATTACAACTGAGATGGAAAAAGGCACAAAATGATGTAAAAATAAGCTATTATAATAAAAAAAAAATGTAGACCAGGACAGGTAACATCACTGACACCTGAGAAAAGCCAGAGTGCTGAGTGAGAATTTTTCTCTAGCCAGTCTGGTTCTCCTTCCCAACTTTGCCCAGGTATCCTAATAGTTCAGAACTCTTGAGCTAGCCTGGAGAGACTTGAGGGATAGAGTCATTACAAACAGAGTTAAATGAGTGGGCTGGATGACACAGCAACAGGAGTTTAAGTTGTACCTAATCAATAACAGAGACAGAACAGTGTGATCAGAAAAGTTTTAGGAGATCTAATTTTGGAGATTTTTTTCTTAAATGGATTACTTCTGGGTGCTTTATTGTTCTCCCTATTTTAGTCACTCCTAGGAAGGCCAGTGGCTGGCTATCCCTCTCTGTCACTCACTCCCATGTATATACACCTCAGGGGCAGGTTCTTGAGAAGATAAACAATTTAATAATAGATCAGCTTTAGTCTGGGGAAAACTGATACAAGAAAGCTGGGAAAGGTGATTAAATTGGTGATGGGAAAGGGTGAAACCTAACAAGAAGAAACTCTTTAGGGAACACCCAGTAATGAGACATCACTGATATACAGAAACTCGGAGCGTACTGCCCATAATGTTAAGAACAATATATTTAACATTTATTGAGTGCATACTCTTTGCCAGGTATTCTTCTAAGAGCTTACATGTATTTAATGCTGATGTCGGCCCTAAGAAGTAGGCACTACTACTATCCCCATTTCACATATGAGTAATTTGAGGCTCAGTAACTTGCCCAGGATCACACAGCTCTTGTCAGTGGAGGAACTCTGATTCAAAAGTCAGGCCTGTGAAACTCCACAGCGAGTGCTCTTAATCACTGCATCTTAGCTTCATATCTAGAAAAAGCAACAATTTTTAAGGAAGGGGTGCTCAGGGGTAGGGTATGGTGGGATGAGAAAGACTGAAGTAGGAGTAGGTCGAGGGAGCTCTGTGTGTAGTGGGGTGGGGGTGGAAGTTTTCTGAGGAGGAAACCCAAGGGGTCATCCAGGTGTGGTGGGGAGGGAGCTGCAGTGATAGAAACTGGACAAGGACCGGTTGGAGGGCCTGGCTGCGGGCCCAAAGCTGGGAGACAGCAGTGCAGATGCTGCGGGAGGAGGGGGTACAAGGGGAGACTCAGGTACAGAGGCTGAGACAGGCGCCTGGTGAGGGGAATTAAGGGGTCACGGTGGACGTGAAGAGAGCACCGGATGTGGAGCATTAAAGGGGAAAGGGCAAGGGGCGCGCTGAAGATGTCTGGGTGACATCGAGGAAAGGCATTAGGGTGGGAGAGTCCCAGGAGGAGGAGCCCCGCACTGAGGGAACTGCGACTGGAAGTGGAGGCCCTGGGAGGGAGGCTAGTGGACGAGACACCAGGCGGGCGGGAGGCGCGCTGGGCCGCAGCGAGGGGCCGCGGGGCACGACCCAGTGGGCACTTATGGTGGCAGCGCCGAGGGCAAATCTGTGAGGGAAGCACTGCGGCCAGTGGGTGGGGGTCGCATTCTGAGCGTGAGGGGATTCTCCCCAAGGGCGGCTCACCCGGCGGACTGGGCGGCGTCTCCACTGTCCCCGGGCTCCGCCGCGTCCCGGGGCTGCCGGGCTTCCCAGCTCTCGGGGCCTCCGGCCGCGTCGCGGAGGCTCCGCCATCTCCGAGCGAACGCTCTGCCGCAGCCGGGCCCAACCACCGCTGCCACCGCGGGGGGGTGGGAGGGGGTAGGAGGGCGGTGCGCTCCGGCCGTGGTGTCCTGTTGGGTTTCCGCCACCCCAGCAGGACAGCCGCGCCGCGGAGGTACTGGGAAGCCCAACGACCCTCGACCCTCGGTAGTGTTCAGCCGAGCCGCGGCCCCCGAAACGGCGGATCGGTAGCCGGCCCGCAGAGGCGCACCCCCACCATCCCGCTCGGTGGCACAGTCTGGCGAGCGTCGGACGTCGCGGCTCCCAGAGCAGGGGCGGGCCAGGGGTAGGGGTTCGTCCACTGAACCCCGCGGAGGGGGAGCCGGGCAGGCCCACTGGCGGACGGGGGTGTGGGCGGGGCCCCGTGCCGCTGTTCGGCTGGGATGTTGAGACCCCTAGGCAGTCCCCTAAGGGCGCAAATCTTTCCTCCCCACCCCAAACTGGCCTCAGCAGTCCGTTGGACTGGTTGGAGGCTGATCTGTTACCAAGTTTTCTTTTAAATGGGCTCAAAAGGAGCAAGAGGTGTATTTCTCCATGAGTCCTAGTAACCTAGGCTGCTAAATCTAAGCCTCCAACAGCAGTAACACAATGGACTGTTTAAAGGTTATTTTATTAAATATCTTCAGTTCAAGGTTTCATTGTAACAAAGCTATGAAGGGTCTACCAACATTCAGAACAAACACTATTTTTAAATTATTTCTATGTTGTCATGCAAAAATTCTGCATCAAATGCCTTCCATTTCCTGTTTAAAAGATGGTTTGTTTTTTTTCTTTAAGTCTATTGTCTATAGATGCTGACATTAGCCCCAGAAGGAGTAAGAATGCTAAGAAGTGGGGCTGGAGCAGCCATATGAAGCTATGGGTCTTAATGAACTCTAAGACCATTTGTCTTCAAGCCAGCAAAACCAAACCCTGTGGTGAAGGTGTCTGCGTGCTGGTACTGCAGGCTGCAGGGCAGGAAAGGGCTAGGGCCCAGGGGCTGGGGCATGCATGAGGGGCTCAGAGGAGCCTGGCTAAATCCAAGCACCAGCACCTGTGGATCTGCTCTCTTCTCAGCTGTCTCCCAGGTAAAACTGTAGCTATGCTTCTTCTTCCAGCTTCTGTGCCTCCTGAAGGTCCAGGGAGCTCGGGTCTAGCTGCCTTTCCCCGAATAGTGCAGATATTTGTGCAGATAAATCTACACAGTTATTTTGGGGAAACCAAGGCCATGACCACTTGCTCCTTATTATTTTTTCTGCTATCTGCTTAGCGTATAGACCTTTCCCTCCTGGACTGGAACTCCTTGAGCACAGAGAGGGATAATGAATGTTAAGAGCCTTGGCTCTGGACACCTCTTTTGGGTACATGCAAGTGAGAGGGGTGATGCCCATGCAGATTGTCCAGCAGTAAGTCTATACTTCAGTTTGTCAGTAAAGAGGCCTCTTTAAAGAGGATATATCCTCTTCTTACCAGAGCATTCAGATCAATCTCTAAGACAGGAAAAAATGATGGACATGCAGCAAGGGAAGAGTAAAGAGAGGCAGCCCTGAGGGCAGCCTGAATGCATAGAAACCATCAACTCTAATCCCACTGCCTCACTCCTCCCATCCCACAGGGGCACTTAGCAGAGGGCCCAGGCCCAGATGAGGGTCAGCACGGGGACCACCACCATGAAAAGGCAAGACAAAGATGGTCCAAATCAGCACAGAAACAGCACAGAAGGGGAGCCCTGGCCAGGGCTTAGCCCTCTCCTTGCTAAGTTATAAGAAAACAGACACAAAGCAAAGCAGCACCCCCTCCCCCTTCCCAGCTGCAGGGATTGGGTCTTAATATCAGGGCCCACATGCATTGTGCATCCTATCGAAATGGATGAGTGCATGTCAGACTTAACACGAGGTTTCTCATCAGTTTTGTAGCGGATACACTTCTGCAGCACCAATTCTCTTCCCTTCTACATTAAGTGAACAGTACAGCAATGTCCAGGCCCTCAGTTCTGAGGCCACTGCTTCTCAGCTGCCTCCACAGCAGCTGAGAGCTCTGCGTTCTCTCTTAAGTAGGTTTGATGGCCACGATGTTCTCATGAGCCTCCTTCCAGGTGCCTATGCAAGTTCTGAAGAAGTCTATTCCCAGATCTGGGGCAGGCAGGTCACTTCAGGGGCTGCAACCACATCATGGCCCCCAAAGTTCTGTCAGAGTTCTTGCCTGGTCCCCCTGAGTCCAAAGAGGCCAGAGGCTGAGGCTCACCTCTTCAGGGCTGGTGGGTGAGCCCGCTGCTCATGCCAAGATGGGCGTCACATAAACTCCTGCCTTCTTGCCAGCCCAAGGGCTACCGGTGGTTTTAAAACGCATCATGGTATGGATTCCATTTTTTTAAAAACAATCTTTTTTTCTTTTTTTTTTAAATGTAAAAAACACCTCGGTACAGCAGAGACAGACACGAAGGGCGGGAGGGCTGCATGCAGGGGCGTGCATTGGCTGCTGCCGCTTTGTAATTTAATTGTTTTAAACCTCAAACGAACAGGACTGCCGCTGTCACTCAGGCCCTCCAGAGCCACTGGCTGCGAAGGTTCAACCTCTGGCTGAGATCTCTTAATGCCCCTGTCAATAGGACAGACGTGGTAACAAACAGAGGACAGTAAGCACACAGAAGAGTTCCAGGGCCTTAAACACACTGTATACGTGGCCAAGTCTGCCCGAAAACCTGCAGGGTGGGGGAGAAGCTAGTACTTAAATATAACATTGCCTCACATTTGCGGAGCACTTACCAAGTGCTTAACTTATTATGAATATCTTATTTAATCCTCACAGCTCCATGAGGTAGACATGGCTCCTTCTTTTTGATAGCTCAGGAAAACTGTAGCTTAGGGAAGGGAAGTAACCCATCCATGGTCACCCAGTTTATTGTCACAGAGCCGGACCCAAGTCTATCTGGGTCTTAGAGCCTAACTTATGAGCACCACACTGTGTCTAACCTTTGCCATTCCTCTAGAATGGCCCTCACCGCCCTACCCTCGAGCCACCACTCAACTTCTTCTTCCTCCTCTAACCCCATTTGTCCCAGTCCCTCCACACCCCCCACCAAGTGCACCTGTGGTTGAGCTCACTGCAGCGGTGCAGCAGGGGCCCCTGAGCAGTGATAGTGGACATTGAGCCACTTGCCATCCCGGCGATGCCAGACCCGGGTCTCCTCTGACTGGCTGGTTCGAGGCCGACCCTGTCCATCGATGTACTGAGTGAGGCGGATGTAGGCAATGCAAGCTGCGTCTTCCCCAATCACATGGACGTGCGGGTTCAGGATGGTAGTGTGGATGGGCTTGCTGTTCTTGGATAGAACTGCAGGGGACAAGGTGAGGTTATTAAGAGGGCATCATGCCTGGGCACTGGCATTTTCCTCCCAGTCTGCACTTCCCTCTCTCTAGCAACCATTCCGAGAGTTTCCCAGCCCCCCACAGCCCCTCCAGAGGCCAGGAAGCACCATCATATTAGTCTCAGTTATCCAACAGGTGAAACATGGTAATACCATCTACTTCTTTAGTCACATACTGGTGGGAATTTTCATGTGGTTCACAGTATTTTCTTTGTTTTGTAATAAGGCAATAGACTCAAAGACATTAAGTAATTTGACCAAATCACACAACGTTTTAACTAATCTGACTCTTAACTAAAGCTTATGGGCTTTCTACTTTGTAATTCTGATGTTTTCACAAGATCTACCTTGTGACTTAAAAAACAAACAAACAAAAAAAAGCATGAAAGTTAAAAAGGAATCACCAAAGCACAAACTCAGAATATTCCTAAAGTTTCTAGGGCCCTTGGGGGGGGTGGGGGGAGAGTCAAAGTATCTGAATTGCCATTACATTGCAAATTACGCTGCTGTTCTTGAGAGTCACATTTTAGTTCAGTTCAAATGTCTTCATGAGACAGTCCCTAGAGCACCTATAAACTGTGGACTTGCTTCTGGCTAACAAAATTACTTAGGCAGTCTTTATATTTGTAGCTGTGAGATGGAGAGGATAGAGAAAACAGTGACAAGATAAAACAGGATAAGAAAGTTCCAGGATAAAGTGGGAAAGAAAAACGAAAGGAGAGTTTTAGAATAGAGAGAAAGATGGAAGATGATGATGATTCAGCTTCTTATCCCCTAGGGTTTCTACCAACTGTCCAGAGTTTGCATACCCCAGACAGGACTCATCTCCCTCAATGTTCAGGAAGACTCTAACCACAACTTGCAACCTCTCACATCACTTAGGGTACCCTGTCTAGTCTTACCCAGACTTTAATTTACTCTATTGTGAAACCTGTAGATACACAGCTTCATTATTACTTGCTGAGATCATCTCAATTTGATCTCAAGTGTCTTGGAAAGTGGTGAGGCTTAAAGTAAACAAAGTGAGTAAACTTAAAGTGGTGTCCTGCATACCATAAATCTGCTACAGAATGAAAGGGTGCATGGGGCTCTGGAGCTGGGTTTAAGACCATTGTCAGGGCACAAAGAGGAAGCACATACACCAAAGTGAGGCAGGTGGGTCAAATGAGGGAAAAGCGGGCAATGGGGAAGAGGTAAGTAGGGACAGAGGCAAAGGGGGAAAGGGGACAGGCAGGAGTATATCAGCAGCACGAACCCACTCACGATTCTCAAAGTAAAACTTATGGAAATCCATTCCCTCCACGAGGTTACCAAGGGCCTCAGGCTCAAAGGAAGTGAGGCCTGGATCACAAATCTTCCTGTAGAAATAAAAAGCAGCCTGTCAGTCTTCCTGTGGGAATCACTTGTCTTTCTGCCTCATCAGAGGCATTTGCTGTGCAGCAGGAGATTAGCAGTGGACTGGACCCGACAAGAGGGCTAAGAACGCAGGTCCCTGCCTTTCAGCCCACTGCAAGGACACCACAGGCTGGTTCAATCACGGGTACCAGTCGAGGGGCCTAGTGCTTAGCACAGACACTGTTCAAGGCCCAGCCTCTCCTTTTCCCTGTGTCCTACCTTTTGATAGAAGGGCAGGCCAACCTG